GGTGGGGCCCCCATGACAGTAGGGGCACAGGGGACTCCCCCTGCCTTTCTTCCTGTAGGCAGTGGCGATGGAGCGGACTGAGGGGAGGCGGGGCCAGCAGCGCTGGCTCTGCCCCCCGCTCCATGCAGGTCACAAAAATGGAGCAAGTGGAGGGGCACTGGCCTTTCCTCCCCTCCCAGCCCTGCTCCCCACAGGTGGTGACCACAGAGCGTGGGGAGAAATGGGCCCAGGCCTGACATGGGGAGGGGGGTGTGGGGGAATGGGGTTGGACAAGAAGCGGGGGCAGGGCTAGATATGGGGCTCCGTCCCTGCCCCTCCCATGACACTGGACTGAGGGGCGGGAGAGATTGGCCCCGGCCTCTCTGTCTCCACTGTCATGGTGGCGTCATCCCCACTGTGGAGGTTGGGACAGGCTGCATGGGGCCGGAGGTGGATTCAGCAGACGTGGAGGGGGAGGGCAAATGGAGCCAAATGGGGGGAGGGGGGCCACGGGGCAGAGGCAGAGCAGCGGCAGCACAGGACATTGGGTAGGGCCCCCCCCATCGTTCTTGATGGGCAATTGGCTAGTATTATATAAAAAAATGTTGGTAAAAAAGTTTGTAAAAAAAAAAATAATAATAATAGTAATAATCCTTGGGTTGTCAACTTCAGTTTCTAATTACCTGCTTTGCTGCCACATAATTAATGGTTCACATTTCTCTCAACGTGACCAGTGAAAATGTTTTAGTTTGTTTCACTCTTATTGATACTTCCATACTGATTCTATGCATTGTGTTTAGGGCTACAAGTGAATGTTAAAAATCAGACTGTCTCTATTGATACGAGAGAGAGATTTCTAGGTTTTGTAACAGTTAGTGTGTTTACAGTAAGCACTAAAATGTAGGCCCAGACTGCCCAAGTGTCTAAGAGAGCAGCTGTGCAATGTCTTGGTTGTATTTTTATAAAATAGAATATGTTCTGCAGGATATTCTTTCATGTTTTGAAATGGACAGGTTTGTGTCCTCCATCCTTGCCCTCCATCAATGCTGACCTTGTGAAGGAACACCTTGAGAGGCTGGACACCTTCGAGTCAGCCGGCCCTGACAATCTACACCTCACAGTACTCAAGGAGCTGGCTAGCATCATAGCTCAGTCCCTGGCACGGATCTTCGAGAACTCCTGGCTCTCTGGTGAAGTGCCTGAAGACTGGAAGAACGTCTGGTGCCTATCTTCAAGAAGGGGAGGAAAGTGGATCCAGCAAACTATAGGCCCATCAGCCTGACCTCTATCCCAGGGAAAGTCTTAGAAAAGATTATCAAAGAGGCCATTCTTAACAGACTGTCCGATGGCAATATCCTGAGGGATAGCCAGCATGGGTTTGTTGTGGGTAGGTCCTGCTTGACCAATCTTATTTCCTTCTACGACCAGGTGACCTAACACCTAGACAAGGGAGAGGAGATTGATGTCGTATATCTTGACTTTAAAAAAGCCTTCAATCTGATATCCCATGATCACCGTCTTAGGAAAACTGGCCAACTGCAGCCTCAGCCTCACCACGATCCGCTGGCTGGGGAATTGGCTCCATGGTAGGACCCAGAGGGTGGTGGTTGACAGAAGTCAATCATCATGATGCCCTGTCACCAGTGGGATCCCTCAAGACTCTG